AGTAACAAGGATGAGTCTCATTCTCCTAACTCTGAAAGAGCCTTGAATATCCTCAGGGCTAGGATGAACAAGACGTTACTGGGGCTTGCTCGAGGCAATCGACGAATAACAAGATGGTCGTGATCGTGATTACTTTTTGGTGTATAGTGGGGCATATTCAGTGGACTGCAGGGTTGACTCAGGGATCACTCCTGGTTGTGCACAGAGGACTGTATGTGGTGCTGGGGATCAAACCCAAGCCAAGTGCCTTACCCGCTGTGCCATCTCTCTGGCCTGGCGCCCCCTTTAAACATGGGCTGAGTGCTGAACACAATGCTTGGCCCACAGCCTGCAAGAACCTGACTTATTACCATCATATCTAACTTTGATTCAGTGTTGTATGTGCCAAGTACTAAGTGCTCCAGGTGTATCATCTCACTCATCCCCCCAGAATCCTGTGAAAGAAGGTTGTACCAGAAACTTCTGGGATGTGTTTGAATCATCTGGATTCTACAATGAACTGGCGACTCCAAGAGTCGAAGGCAAGGGCCTAAGTTACACAGAAGGGATCAGAATCTGGTCCATGTGCGTTCTAGCAGACGGTTTCCTCCATCAACCACATGATCTTGCGAATCCGTTTAGACACATGTGTAGTCAAGACAAGCACCACGTCAGGACTAGCCTGCACTAAGTGGGCTCCAAGGTCCCTTCGGATTCATCCACCTTCCCCACCTGGTCCGGTAGACTTGTACACATGAGTCTGAGGGTTACTCTTAACATCCTTTGGGTTCCTTCACTGCTGCCCCTGTCAAACTCCTGTGTCCAGGGGCACACGTTCTCATGACCTTTAGTCCCTACACTGCCCCAACAGGGCTGTCAGAACACGAGATGTAACCAGTACCTGAACCGTTCCTCTCTTGGAAATGGTGACCATCATCCAAGGCTTCTTTCACTCCCCAGGCTCACAGAAATCTCTTCTCTTTACTCAGTCATGTTATTCCGTTTCATTCTTTCCTACCTCACAGCCAGGATTTCAGGATGGATAATTTAAATGATTTTCTTATTTTTATTTATTTATTTATTTATTGCTTTTTGGGTCACACCCAGTGACGCACAGGGGTTACTCCTGGTCATGCCCTCAGGAATTACTCCTGGACGTACTTGGGGGACCATATGGGATGCTGGGAATTGAACCCGGGTCAGGCTGTGTGCAAGGCAAACGCCCAACCGCTGTGCTATCACTCCAGCCCCTAAATCATTTTCCTATGGATACCTTATATTATGTTCCCTGTATGTTCCTCAGCAAAATTGGTGGTCTGCTTCTCTACCCCCACCTGAGACCCCGTGGAGAAAGCACAGGAGCAGGTCAACTCTGTCACTTCCAATCCATGTCTTTGACCTCAGCCAGAGGTCACGCTCCTGGGAGTGATGTTCAATGTCCACTTGTCCACGCTCATCTTTGCTAATGACGGTTCCGGTTCCAAGCCCTCACCTTCGGGTTCCTCTGGGATTCAGGAGTTAGCATTGCCGGTGAATTTGGGAGTTTCTTCTGGGTCATACTGTTAAGAGTCCCACCTTCTTCCTGAGGGGACACGTCTGCATTCCTGGTATCAGCATGCTCGAGGCTGTGACTGTCACAGTCCCATCTGCCGTGTGGACATGCTATGCAGTGGCTGTCGTGCCTGGGTTAGCTCAACTCCAGAATGGACCCCATCCCCGCCGCCCTCGATAAGGTCCCTCCAAAGGCACCCCTCTCTTCCTGGAGACCCTGGGCTACGGGCGGGACCCCAGCCTCTCAGCCCGAGAGGGATGTCATCTCGAGTCCTGTCTCTCTTTCTCCTTCAGCTGCAGCTCGCTCTCTAGTCCTTCCTAAGCCCTTCCTGCTGGTTCTGTTTCCCTCTTCTCTCTGTCCCTGTGACTATGGCCCATCTCTTAATCCAGCTGAACTGCTGGTTTTTTTTTTTTCAGCTTCCATAAGTAGTGCCAGAGGCATGTTCCGATACCTTGGGCCCAATCAGGCTGCCTCCAGTGAGAGGCCTGAGGAAGGGCTGTGGCGTTGGGGGTCACCTTTAAACTGAAGCTCAAGGGGCTGGAGCAATAGCACAGCGGGTAGGGCATTTGCCTCGCACGCAGCCGGCCTAGGTTCGATTCCCAGCACCCCATATGGTCCCCCGAGCACCGCCAGGAGTAATTCCTGAGTGCATGAACCAGGAGTAACCCCTGTGCATCGCTGGGTGTGACCCAAAAAGAAAAAAAAAAGAAAAAAGAAACTGAAACTCACGGGTCACTCAGAACCACCCTCCTGGTGCTTGGGGCCCTCGAGAGGCATCCATGGTGCTTTAGCTGGGCTGGACTACAGACCGAGACAGTGTCTTCACCCAACTCTCTCTGGCTCCACATTAAAAAAAAATAATCCTTGAGCATGGTTCTCTCAAATCTCCCCTCAACACAGCTTGACCTCCCTAAGCGCGAATCTGACCGTCTCACGCCCCCTCCTTGGAGCCCTGCAACAATCCCCTCTTGATGTGACTTGTGGACCACCTGGGGTCCAGCTTTAGCTTCTTCCTGTGGGACCTTCATTGACTGACTGCAACTGGCCCACACCTGAGCTGTAAAGAGTTTGCTCTTCCGGGTCCCCTCACTTAGACCATCCTTCACGCTGACCTGATGAGCCTCTATTAACCTTTGTTTATTTTTTAATTTTTAATTTTAATTTTTTTTATTTTTGGGTCACACCCTGGGATGCACAGGGGTTATTTCTGGCTTTGCAGTCAGGAATTACTCCTGGCGGTGCTCAGAGGACCATATGGGATGCTGGGAATCGAACCCGAGTCAGGCCGTGTTACGCCCTACCTGCTATACTATCACTCCAGCACCTCTATTAACTTTTAAACTGAAGCTCAAGGGTCACTTCTTTGGGGAGGTATTTACAACTTGTACTCCCAATCCAGGGGTAGTAGCTGTGTTCCTGAGTACCCCCAGCTCTCCCAGAACTGTAGTGAATGGTTTGGGGCACTTGCCGACTTATGTGTCCGTATCACTCTAAGCCTGTCACCTCACTGAAGCCTGGTCCTCTTTCTCTGGGTACCACTTGGTCTAGGCGTGGCACCAAGAAAGTGCTCAGCAGATTGTTTTGGGAGCTGGGATGGGGAGAGACCTCCCAAGCACTGGTCTGGAGACCAGATGCCCCCTCCCAGCGATATGGCCAACTGGGCCAGATGGTTCAATGTGAGGCCTGTAGTATGATGTGGGCTAGCCAGGGTGTACTTGGGGAAACCTCCAGGGCTACAACTGTGGAGCTTGGTGAGGGGGAGGGCCTAGCCATGTGGTTCCAGGGTTCAAAGTTGAATCCCTGTTTGTGCAAAACATGGCTCTCCTGCCCACTGGTTATCTCCCCAGCCTGCTGTTCAATAGTTTTAATAAGAAATGTAGAATAAGCAAGTGACTCATTAGTGGAAAACTATCTGGCCCCTGAAATGGTCTTTCCACTTTCCAAACTAGGCAGGGAGGGAGAATTCGGCAGCAGCAAACCCATGAACTATTTCTCAGGTCTGATCTGAACATCAGCAGGCACAGTGGTGTGTGAAAGGCTCTGTAGGGTGTGTGTGTGGGGGGGGGGGGGGGGACAGAGTCCCAGAACCCAGATGGAAGGGAACCGAGCGCCCTGGGCACCAGAACCTTGCAGTCTCCATACAGCTCTCATCCCTCTTCAACCTTCAGGCTGAATTGCCAAAGGAAAAGATCATTCCCCAAGCGGGTGAGATAGCGGGTAAGATGCAAAGGCTTGGTTGGAAGAAATGAAAACAGAGAACGGTGGAGAACAAACTGGAGCCAGAGTTCTTTTACTAACCTCCAATACCAGCTTCCCTGGGCCCGGGACGCCTTCACCAAGACCTGGATCTCGCTAAGAAGCACAGCCAAACCTTTGAAACCCTTCCTGCTTTCCAAGCATTAAAAACTCATGTCAGAAGGCAAGGGGTGGAGGACTTGGGGGGCCCCCCGCACGTTTCTCCTGTATGCCAGGCACGGAGTGTTTGCGAACTTCAGGGAGCATCAGGGCTCATTTTGTAATGAAACTAATAGTAGATAATGGGAATGGCTTAAGAGGAAAGGCACCAACTGCTAATAACAATAATTATAGAGAGAGAAGCCAGCCCTCCACCGGCCCGCGTAGCAGGTGCTTTTGCGAAGCATCATCTCTGTGCCTCACAACAACCTCCACAAATGCACATCACTTCCACGGTTTGAACGACTGCAGTGCGCTGAGCGCCTCTGACCACAGCTGGGGCAGCCCGGGGCCAAAGGCCAGGAAGGTTTCGCCCGGGGCTGGAGCCTCCCCGATTCCCTGCAAAACTGCTCAGTGCAGAGCGAGGGCGAGAGGGCCGGGTGGGGCGGACGCCGTCTAAGACGCAGAGCAGCGAGGGTGGGGGGGCAAGAGCCGCAGGCCAGGTGCCGCGGGGATGCCAGCCCTGCGCCCCGAGCAAGGAGCGACTGGTTTCGGGACGTGGGGCGCTTAGGTAGAGGCGCGGGGGGCGGGCCCTGGGCGCGCAGAAGTGCCACCCGCCCTGGGGGGGTCCAGGTGAGGGGACAGGAGCGCGAGCCCCCGTGGGGACCTCCGCCAGGGCTCGGAGCGCGCAGGCTGCCCCCGGGGGACTCCACGGCGGCGAGGTTCCGCGGCTGCGTCCCGCCAGCCCCCGCGGGCCGCGGGCCGGGGTGCGGGCCGTGCCCGGCGCACCCCCGCGCGCAGTGGTTCGGCCCATCCCCCGCCGCTGATCTGGCAGCTGCGCGCGCACCCCGCGGGCCCCGCGGGCCGTCGGGGAGCTGCGGCCTCGGCGGCCGCTTCCTCCGCGCGCCGCCGCCGCTCGCGTGCTCTCGGCTGGCCCCGCGCGCGCGCGCCCGCCCGGGGACGCGCCCGCGCGCCCAGGCGGGGAGGAGCGCGGCCGCGGGGGCGCGCCCAGGTGACTCCGCCTCCCCCCCCCCCACCTCCTCCCCGCCACCTCCCGCCCCCGGGCTCGGAGCGAGGAGCAGCCCCGGACCCCGCGCCCTCCCGCGCGCCCCCGCCCCCGCGTGCGAGGCGCCGCGCCCTCCCGCCGCCCTGCCCGGTGCACGGAGGGGCCCGCGCGCGCGGGGGATGACCTGGGGGTGGCTTTCGGAGCCGGCGGCCGCGCTGGACGTCCCCGGGCGCAGCCAGTGGCGTTGAGAGGTGCGGGGGTGCGGGGCTGCGGGGCCGGGTGGGCGGGGGCCTGGTGGTGGGCACGCGCCCGAGGGGTCGGGGTGGGCACTCGGGGGCGCGCGGCGGGCGAGGGGGGGTCCGGCGCTGCCCGGCCGGGCGCCCGAGGTCCGGGTCCGGGTCCGCGCGGACTCTGAGCCGCCGCGTGCGGGGAGGCGGGGGCCGAGGTGTCAGGGACTCGGTGGAGTCTCTTTGACAATGACCCGCCGGGGCAGGTGAGGCGCAGCCTGGCGGGGCGGCGGGCGCGTTTTCCCGAGGGAGCCGGGGCCGCTGGGGCGGGGGTTGGAGGTGGGGGTCCCTCGCCGCTCCCCGCCGGACCCTGCATCCCCGCGGAGCGCCGGCGCGAGACAGTGATTTATGCAGCGCGAGGAGCCGGATACATTTCCTGCACAATGTATCTTTCTCTGGCGCCCCGGACCCGGTGCCTTCCCAGCCGCGGGGAGCGCGCTTCCCTCCCTGGGCGAGGCTTTCTCTGCGCCTGGCATTATCGCCGGCTAAATACCTCGCAGCGCGCTATTGATCCCCAGCCTGCCGCTTCCTCGACCTTTGTGGCTGGGCCCCCGGCATCTCGGGACTGGCAGTCATAAATCAGCAGAGGGGCTCCGATCCACCGTCTCGCCCTGCCCGTCATTGTTCTCCCGGACCCCCGAACCTGCACAGCCGCATCAGGTGGAGGACTCTGCAGGCGGAGTGTGTTCCCCGCAGCCCCCCAACCCCCGGGAAGGTCGGCTGCTCCGGCCAGGAGTGCAAGAGGTCGCAGGTGTTTTGTTTTGGGGTTTTTTTTCCCCCCCCGGGGCGGGGGGTGCAGAATGCTTTCCAGTGGGGGGTCTGGAGCTTAGGGCCCCTCCCGGACAGAAAGTCAGCCTCTCTGCGCTTAAATCACACACCTGGAGAAGAAGGGGTTTGCACTGACAAGGTTTATTCCCAGGCTGATGGCCAGGAGTGATGAAGCAGGTGGGCTGTGCGTCCATGCCTTAGTGATACCACGCGCTTCCCTGCCCCGCTGACGTTTGGCACATGTATGGGTCAGTGCCTGCCCGGAGGAGATGCAGGGTGGGCGGGTGGTGGTCGTGGAGGAGGAGGAGGAATTAAAACGGGAACATTCTCAGCATATACCTAAAGAGTCAGTGACATTTTCCTAGCTCACTTTTGGCAGTCCATTTTAGTTTGGAGGTGTATAGTTAGTTGTGCTGGTGGTGGTGGTGGGGTGTGTGTGTGTGGGGGGGTGGTGGTGGTAGTGGGGAGTTCAACTTTTAGGACAAGATGAAAGCAGAACCAGACAAATTCTGGAAATTTAAAATTAGCCCATAACTAGAAAGCATTCTTAGGAACCCAGAGAGGCTCCAATTCCTGTCGTTTCTGTTATGCACATGTGGAAATAAACGGCCTCATACGCTCAGTTATATGAGAAGGATGGAGAAAACCTGTTTCATTTTGTAAAGACGTGCCTGGGTGTGTGTTTGGCAGCGCGGAGAGCAGAAACATTTATGCTTCTATAAAAGACACACAAGTGTATATTGTTTAACTTTTGTGCAAATACTCAGATGGAGTATTTGGGAAATCCGTCTTTGTTTGAATAGTTTAGTCAACCAGGAAAATCAGTTAGTGGAGGTACAGGGGTATTGTTTGTGTAGTAACTCACTGGGGATGCTTTGATTGATGGCCGTGGTTCTCATCGACCTCTTCTTCCAAGGAAAGTACTTAAACAGCTCCGGCTGAGCAGCCAGGAAGCTCCGAGCACCCGTAGGACATTGGCCGCACTGATGGAGCTGGCCGAGGCTGGCTTCTAAATCGCTCTTACACCCGGCCTGCTTTGCAGGTGGTTCAGCTTTGCAGAAAAGGAACTAAGTTCACTTTAAGATAGGACATCCCCCCTTGCCCCCTTGCCCCCTCCTCCCCTCCCCGCAAGGTATATATAGATGGAGGTTTTGTGCAGGAAGGAGAAGCTCTTGTCTCTGAACTGTGCTCTGAAGCATCAGGTAAAAGTGGGTGACTCCATCTCTTGTTGTGTTTTTGTTTTTTTCCTCCTCTTTCCTCTTATGCTACCTTGATTTGCTGTGTGATTTCATTCCTTGTTTTGGCCAGAGCAGAGGTTGAAGCAAAAAATCTCTCTTCTCTCGAATGGTTTCTTTGACAAACGTGGATATGAAAACATTCTGGCGATCGCTTCTAAGACAGCTCGGAAATGAGTTCAGGAGTTAAACCTCTCAGTGTAATCAGGCCGGGGATAGGAAATTAAAAAGAACTAATTGAAAAATGTGCTAGTTTGGTAGCATGTAATTATGTTAAGCATCACCCTTGCTATTAGCATGTGCCCTGTGAAGACATCCAGATAAGACAGCACATCAGAGGAGCTGGTGACCTGTCTACCAGGTAGTCCCTCTGTAGATATAGGATCTTACTATTTAATAAGAACTAATTAGATTAGAAAGGGAATTTGGAGTCGGGGTGCTTGATGCATTGCTTTGAAGGACTTGGTTTCACATGGGTTTTTGATTGGCACTTAAAAAACTCCGTGAACTCGAGTTAAAGGGGAATGTTTTATTGTTTCCATTGAAGTTTTAATATTGTATGTAAACATTTCCTTTATTTATAAACATACCATTTGTACATTTTGTGGTGGGGTCCAAGGAACTGGTTTACTTTCCAGAGAGTGGGGAGGAGGGCTTTGCTGAGTATTTTCAGGCGACACTCTTGAGAGAAGGTATATGAACGCGCCTGATGTTGCTTTAGAAATATTGGATTACAATGAAATGAAAAACTGGTTTGTTGATTTTTTTTTTTAATCCTTCAAGTTTCCACTCATTGTTTGCGCTCTTTTTCCTCATTGTCAGGTTTAAAACATACAGTATCATTGTCGTCTGTCCCCTGAATAATGGTCCTGAGGTGATATTATTAATGTGGCTTTTTAAAATCAAACTAATTATACTTGCCTAAAAGAGCCACATGTGTGCGATTCTAGCTGCCTGGTGCCTTTTGAGAGCCCTGGAGACAGGCTAGTGAATAGAACTGAAAATTCATTCTGTATTTGATTAAATGGAACAGACTCACTGCTCCTTACCTCAGCAGGGGCTATGAGATCTCTTGATCCCCGAAGCGGCTCCAAGACCCTGGGAATTCCATTAGCGAGCACCTGAGGAATTTCTGCCCTGCAGTGCCTTTTTTGTATGTGTGGATGTGTGTGTGGGGAGAGAGCGGGGCTGAGGCGGTGTGGGGGGGGGATCTCGGGCTGGGGGTGGGGAGAGAGGCTGCATAAGAAGACTCCATATGTTAGCAGATCTAAAATCAAGGCATGACTTAACAGCTTATCTTGTAAGAGAAAAGCCCGGCCCAAAGGCAGATTGCTAGTCCGGACTTCTTTGCAAGCAGGACTGGGAGGAGGATTTTTCGCTCTAAAGTGAGCACAGAAAAGGCACTTTGCGACACGAGCACACGCACGGTGCCGGCTGGGTAAGTCTGCTTTGAATGATCTTTTGGTGTGAATGTGAAGCAGTGTGACAGCAAGTCTCGGCTGAGAAGGGCCGTGCATTGTTTTCATAACTTCTCAAAGGAAGAGCAAAATCAGAGTCCACGCGCAGCCCAGATGAAATGCTTCTTGCAAGAGGCATGTTTTACCGGAGTCTTTTGTGTTAAATGGGATCGCGTTGATTTGTGGTTGTTGTCGCATCTGTATTATAGAACGTGACTTCATTTAGAATAGGTCTCTGGTAGGTCTTGACATTTCATTTTTCACCAATTCTCTCTTATTTTTAGTGTCTTAAGGCACTCATTTTGCAGAATTCCTAGCAGCCACAGCCAGTGAAATGGTCCTACCAACAATTTCTGGGAAATCTTTGGGAAACATTAGTTTGTCTTTTCCTCCCTGCCTCCCTCTCTCCACCTCCACGGGGGACTCCCTCACAAATAAATTTCGGACACTGACATTTTTTTCTGAGTATTAACCCACGGTTTGTTTCTGAAATACTCTCTAAGGAAGAGCAGTGCTGAATCTGGGGTGGTATATTTAGTCGATTATCTTCTGAGAACTGTTCAAAATGAATATGAATTTCAGGGCTTGTAGCTTTCCCAGCGCAGGATTTCTGTCTGTTGGTTAATTTGATCCGTTTTGTCCCTGATTAAAATCATACCATGTATCACAGTTCGTTCCAGCCTCTACCAAAGTCTCTGTGCATTTCAAAAATTAACAAGCCACTTGGAGAATATGTTTAATTTTTTTTTTTCTCACCTTCATCTCAGATGTAACATAGCCAAACTTAAAAGGCCTCCAGAAGGCTTTGGAATAAACCTTAAAGTTAGGAAGCAGAGTGCTTGCCTCAGTTTACAGTTGCCAGTCCCCTTGCTATGTGATGTATTTCGATGATCCAACATAAATGAAAAGACTTAATTTAGAAGAACATTTTGTTCGGCAACGTATCCGTTGGAATGTGAGTAGGGACTTCAGTTCTCGAGAGCCTGTGATGTGTGTTTTAGTCAGAGAATAAAAGAACCGTGAAATTTCTTGCCTTACGTCTAACTCGGAGTGGGGGGGGGGGAGTACAGGTTGTGTACTGTTTTTGATCTTAGGTTGTGTATTCCGCTTACAGGTTGCTCTGTGATGAATTTTATTTGTACACTATCTTCATACGCAGAGAATAAGAATGTTGGTATAGAACGTGCTTCTGAGCCCTTCTGAACTGGCTCCCTTCTTTTTTCCCATGTGATCCTGGATGGAGATCTCAAGCCTTGGTTTCCTCATCTCTAAAATGGGGATAACAGCAACAATCTCTTCGGCCTCTGTTGTGGGCACGAACCAAGATAATGAAAGTAAAGTGTTCGTCCTATGGTAAAACCTCCGTAAATGTTATTTTTATCTTCTGAGCATGTTAGTCTACGACTTTGATCCCAGAAGGGATTTCTTTGAAGTGCGAAATAAGATGGATTTCTAGGAAGGTGGGGTTGGCATGATTAACTGCAGTTATCGGGGGCTTGCTACA